TCCCTTGCTGTGCAGAAGCTTTTTAGTTTGATGTAGTCCATTTGCGTATTTTTGCATTAGTTGCCAGTGCCTTTGTAGTCTCACTCAAAAAAATGCTGCCCACTCCCATTTCGTGTAGTGTTTCCCCTATGTTTTCTTCTAATAGTTTCATAGCTTCAGGTCTTAAATTGGGGTCTTTAATCCATTTGGGCTTGATTTTTGTATATGTATAGGGGTCTAGTTTTAATTTCTGCATGTGGATATCCAGTTTCCCCAGAACCATTTATAGAAAAGGCTGTCCTTTCTGCTTTGTGTATTTTAGGCACCTTTGTCAAAAATCAGTTGGCCATAAATGTGTGGGTTTATTTTGAGGGTTCTCTCTTCTATTCCACTGGTTAATTTGTCTGTTTTTATGCCAGTACCACATGTTTTGGTTACTATAGCTTTATAGCATATTTTGAAGTCAGGAGGAGTGATGCCTCCAACTTTGTTCTTTTTGTCTGAGTGCTTTAGTTATACGGGGTGTTTGTGGTTCCATACAAATGTTATGATCACTTTTTCTATTTCTGTGAAGAATGTCATTCGCATTTTGATATGGAGTATGTTGAATGTGTAGATTGCTTTGGGTAATATGGACATTTTGATGATGTTAATTCTTCCAATCCATAAACATGGAATATCTTTCCATTTATTTGTGTCCTCTTCAATTTTTTCAACACAGACTTCACTTTGCTTTTTAATTTTTTCTTAGATATCAAAGTTATTAGTCTAAAATAACTTATCATAACATGTTTTTTGTAAGCCTCATGGTAACCATAACATAAAAACTTATAAAAGACATGCTAAAAATTGTGAGAAATCAAAATATAATGATAGAGAAAATCACTCAGCCACAAGAATAATTTTTCTTTATTCTTTACTTTCAGATGTCCTCTCATGCCACTTTAGGACTAAGAAACTCAGGAGTCTGAATTTATCCAACGCTAAAGCCAGGACATGCCAAACCATGTTTCCTACTCCACAGCACTGAAGGGCCTCTCTTCGAGGCTTGCACTCATCATGGTGACACTAGGAAGAGGAGGCACAGGTCCTTCCAGCTCTGAGATTCTCACACTTAAAGAGAAGTTTGCCATGTATCCACTTACCACTCCTTGCACTCAGTCTGGGGCAAGGGAAGGAAGAGTGCAGGCCCAGCCCACACTACATCCTACTCTTTACCTTTTCTCCAAACTTCTCCCCACTCTTGTGTAGGTAATCTTTTTTCTATTCTGCATAAGGATAGAGTAGGGAAAATAAATGTTCTGTCCAATAGCATCTCCTTTCAAACTTTAATGTCTCACACCTGCACCTTGCCTTTTGAATTTAGAAGAGAAGAACATTGATGTCTTTGTCTTCAGACCCCCCCAGTCTGGCCTAAGGGATCCTCAGAGTGTACCTGTGTGAAGGCCAGAGGGTGCTGGGAAAGACCTTTTGAATACTGCACACAACTGGCCAGAGTTGTTTTAGTACCTATAAAATATTTCACTTCCAAGTATCTCAAAATTCAGCAAAATAAAATCATGCTAAAGTATAAAATAAGTAATATCAAATCCATCTTTGCTCTGTTGGTGGAAATGAGGTAGCAAGAATACCAAGTGCCTGAAATGGTGATGCACAGGGACACAGGGATGAACAGTAATTTTTTATGGTTAGCCAGTTTAATAAAATCACCAAACCCTTCTATCCTACTTCAACAACACACCACTCTTGGGATGAAATGTCCCATTGTGTTCACAGAGGGGGGAGAAAGAAACAGATAGTGAGAAAAGAGAGGACAGGAAAATAGAGGAAAGGGCTCTGTTGAGGCACTAACAACAATGTTCATAATTGTGCCTGGCTTCAGACTTGGTTGTCTTCTTCCACGAAGCGAAAAGAAGACAGGAACAGAGTTCTTTTACTTTTCTGTGCAGCCCTGCATATAAATCACTAAGTAATAACACTTCCTCAGTTGTGTCAGAGAATTTTTGTGCACATTCCACCAGAAATAATCCCATCTGGACTTAGTACCTTCCTCTGTGGCAACTGCCATCTCTGCAGCAACTCAGTCCTCACTCAACAAATTTCAACTTCCATTCATTCCCACACCCTCAGTCACACTTTGCAAAGCTGCTCCCTGATAAGGCACAGCCACCTGTCTCAGATCAGCAGTCCAAAATGGCAAAAGAACATATGTTGTCTCAGTGGCCCACTAAATATTAATAGCTAACACTTGCTGAGCATTTACTGTTTGCCAGCACTGCTCTAAAAACTTCCCATGTAATAATCCTCACAAGAACTCTGTGAGGTAAGTATTATTCTTACTCATATATCTTACTCATATATTGAAGATGAGAAAACTGAGGAACAGAGAAGTTAAGCAGCTTTCTCAAGGGCACACAGCTAGCAAGTGTCATAGCCAGGATTTGAGCCCAGGCAGTCTAACTCCAGGGTCCATGCTCGTAACAATTATGTAATTCTTCCCCTTGGAAGAGGACAGGACAGCTAATATGATGGTTACATTTAGAAATACGTAATTTACAATTTGTCAATGGCCCTGCTTCCCAATGAGTTCCTACTCCTTTAGCCTCACTGTTCATGTTTGATGCTTTAAGTCTTCACATCTAAAATGCAACAGAGTACATGTGCTATCTTGACATAATATATAAACAAGGGTTAGTGGGAATACAGTACTCATGTAAAATTCAGGAACAGCCAGATCCTGTGTTTCTGTCTTCACCAAGATTAACTACAAGTTTCCAACTTAGCAGACCAGATAGATGGTGTCAGCATTAACAGAATTCAAGCACTTGGAAAGTAGAACAGAGCAGATTTAGAGAAACAGAAAAACATATTTTATGGCATTCATTCATTCAACAATATTTTTAGAGTACTGAATATGTATCTGATAACTGTGCTGGATTCTGGCATTCCACAGGGAACCAGATCAAAAGTCGTTGCCCAGCATTCATTCTAAGACACACTAGAGGAGACTGAGAATAAGCAAGTAAACAATAAGTAAGAAACAGGATACTGTGACAAAATAACCAAAGAAACATCTTTTATATAGGGCATCAGGAACATAAAGATAGGCAGGTGGATATACAAGTCCTAATGACATGTTGTCATGCCTTCATGCCAGCTTCCCAGGAACTTACATATTTAAGAATATTTTATGATGCTGTAATGCAAACTTTTCAACCTAGTGCTCCAGGCTGCTCTAGTCCAGCCTTGCCTATCTATCCTCTTCTCATCACCACTCCCAAACACACCCTCTCCATTTAGACTAATTTCTTCATTGGCCCACACACATCAAGTTCACCCCCACCTTGTTCTCTCCCCTACACCTATTAATTTTACCCATCCTTCAAAACCAGGCTCAAGTTCCACCTTCCTCATTCCTATCCACTCAGGCTTACTGAGCTCCCCTCTCCCCTAAGCTAGACAATTAACTACCTAAAAATACAGTCTTCCAACCTTCACCAGTATTTCACATGTGCCATAACCCAGGACTTTAAGAGAAGACACAACAATCTATCTCCCCACAGCAAGTGCTAGTAGAGGGAAAAATGATTTGGCACTTTTCCAGAGTTCTCAGGACTAGAGTCAGAGGGAACTGACTCAGGCTCAGAGAGGCAGCTTGAGGGGACTAAGCACAGTGTCCAAGGGGCACAACTCCCAAATAGGAGGGCATCAAGTCTCTAATCAAGTGGAAAGATATCAACAACTGAGAATACAGGAGGCAAGGAGCCAGTTCTAGAGGGGTACTAAGGATCCAGGTGAGAAATCTAATTGAAGAGTAGAGAGCAAAGCATAATCCCTGCCTCATGGACTGCTACAACACAGGGTAGAGGGGGTAGAGCCTTGTGACCTGGGGATAACTACAGGCATCAGATATCGACTGGCAGCAAAGGAGTCTGGAGCCTAGAAACCAAGAATAGGTGACCAAGTTTAAGAACCTGACTTAACTCTAAGCCGTAGATAGAGACCATCAGTGGACTTGTTTGGGGGAAAGTGGGAAGAGTAGATGGAAGAGAGAAGATAAAGGCCAAAAATATGTATGTAGAGATTATTAGTCCCTCAGGGGTAGGGGCCACGCCTTATGTTTCACTTCTATCCTCCACAGCACTTAGGAAGGTAAATATTTATTGATTACATAAAAAAGAAAGAGCACAGACAATTTTGGTATTACCCAATGGAGGGGAGTATGCCAAGGTAACCTGAGCCATCATTTTAGCAGGCTATGTATTAGGCAGGTTCACAGGAAGGCTCCATCACCTTGGCAAACACAGAATAATAATGTGATCTGCTGAACAAACACAAGACTAAAAATGAGGACTAGACTAGCTTTGTCAGCAACCTCTTACAACTCTTAAACAAGTCACTTTACTTCTCTGAGTCTCAGTTACCTCATCCATAAATGTAATTGCTCCAATTTTGTCATAGTATCTGGAACACTTCTCCCCCAGATCTCTGCTTCACTAACTTCATTCTTTTGAATCTTTGCACAAATCTTGCCTTCCTAATGAGGCCTATTTAATACTAACTACCCTATTTAATACTGCGGCTGCCCATCCCACCAACCCCACCTTCACACATGCTGGTCTCAACTTATTGTTGCCCACTAGAATGTAAGCTCCATGAAGGCAAGGATCTTTGTTCTATTCATTGATATCATCCAAGTCTCTGAATGGCCTCTGGAACAGAGTAAACATCCAACAAGTATTTGTTGAATTAATATATGAATGAGTCTAATAAAAGCCAAAATCTCGTGAAAGAAAAATACTAGAAAGATAGTCAGCTCTCCGTATCCGCAAATGCAGAACCTGCCTACAAGGAAGGCCAACTGGAAGGACAAAGTCCTTGGATTTTGGAATGGAGGAAGTGTGGGTCCTGGAACCAATCCTTGAGGTCCTGACCTACCATTCCTTCCCCCAAGCCAGGCATGACCTTGGTCCTGGGCTCCGGATCCCAAAGTCCGCTCCGTTTCATTCTGATCTGGCCAGAACAGGAGGCTGCAGCCGGCGCCCCCGGAAAGCCACACCAGCGAGCTCGGTGCCGGGGACGCGCGCTGGGCCCTCCAGCCCCGCACGGCCCCTCGCAGCAGCAGGAGCAGCGGCGGCCAGGAGCGCTGGTCCCGGCAGTGCGACCCCTGTGCCCGGAAGTGGGTTTCTCCACGGCCCTCATCCCCTCGGCCTGCGGCTGAGTTCGTCGTGCTGATTCCGAACGCACTGCCCCAGTAACCGCGAGAAAGAGACAGGTAGACGGACCCTCCACCCCGCCCCTCCACAGCTCCCACCACCTCCGCTGGGGGAGGCCTCTGCCGTGAGCATCCGCAGTGTTCTGGAAGGACGTCCGCGCCCTACCTGCAGCCCCGACCTCGGTGGAGCAGCCCAGCTGCCCCTGACCGAGGATGGGGCTTAGGCACGCAAGACCCCGCTCTGGGCTCCAAAGGCTCGTGGGATTATCGTAGCTCTCATAAGCCCCCTTGGTGGGATAACGCCCAAGGATCCCTCCTCCGTTCGGCGCTAAGATTGGGCCAGGAAAAGACTTTCCTCGGCCTCCACCTCATCCCCTAAATAAGGGCTTCAGGCGACAGACAACTGCGCCCCCTGGTGGACAGTCGGAGCCTCAGGCACCTTGGTCCACCCCCACAGCCTGGGTTACATTGTTTCACAAGTGGAGTGGTATAGCTCTCATAAGCCCCCTTGGTGGGATAACGCCCAAGGATCCCTCCTCCGATCGGCGCTAAGATTGGGCCAGGAAAAGACTTTCCTCGGCCTCCACCTCATCCCCTAAATAAGGGCTTCAGGCGACAGACAACTGCGCCCCCTGGTGGACAGTCGGAGCCTCAGGCACCTTGGTCCACCCCCACAGCCTGGGTTACATTGTTTCACAAGTGGAGTGGTAAGATGGTTTTCGGTACTACATACATTTTTTTTTAAATATCTGAGTTGGGCCGGCCCCGTGGCGCAGTGCGCCGCTTCGGAGCGCGGTGGAGCTCCCGCCGAGGGTTCGGATCCCACATACAGACCGGCTGCTTGCTGGCTGAGTGAGGTGCGGGCGCAACACCGAGGGTTGCGATCCCGTTGCCAGTCCTGGTCCGGTACGGGCGTGACACTGAAGGTTGTGATCCGTTGCTGGTCACGAAAAAAGACAAAAAGGGAAAAAAAATAAAAATAAAATAAATATCTGAGTTGTTTATGCTTATATATGTTTAAAAAATTACAACCAGCTCAACAAACCCATTATCTCAAATATTATTTCAGTACAAAGCTAGGTGTTTAAGTGAGAATTATTTGTTTAAAGAAAATATTTAATACATAATATGCAGGTATTCCAAAATCATGAAGGTGGTGTTCAAATGACTACAGTCAGTGAAAACTGTCGGCCTCACAGGGTCAACCAAGGGAATAGGTGGGCATGATGGCTAATTTTACGTGCGAACTGGGAAGGTGTTTTGGAATAAAATTAACATTTAAATCAGTGAACTTTGGGGAAAGCAGATTGTCCTCCATAATGTGGATGGTCCCCATCCAATTAGTTGAAGGCCTGAATAGAACAGAAAGACTGGCCTCCCTGAGCACGAGGGAGTTCTCCAGTAGACTTCCTTCAGACTTCATCTGCACCATCAGCTCTCCTGGACCTCCAGCCTGCCAGCCCACACTGCAGGTTTTGGACTTGCCAACTTCCATATCCACATGAGCCAAATCCTTGTCATAAATCTCCATTTATATATACACATCCTATTGGTTCTGTTTCTCTGGGAAATCCTAACTTTGATGGGTAATCTCAAATAGTCCTTCCCTCTCTGACACTGAGTGCGGTGTAAGGAGGGAAAGCAGGGGAAAGAGGGCTTAATTCCATTACTAGATGCTCTGAAGTACTGAGGGTGTCACCCTATGCCCAATTCACTGGGCACACTTACCCTAGCTTCACTGCTTCACTCCTCCCTCCCCTTCTCATGAGGTTGAGAATAACAAAAGACATCAAATAACCAAAGTAATCCTGAGCAAAAAGAGTAAAATGGGAGGCATTACACTACCTAGCTTAAATGCTAGGTCCTACAGCATTCCCACTGCTCACTCTTCCTGGAAAAGAATAATGTAGTGGAATATAGATGAAGCTCTGAATCCAAATAAGAATATTGGTTGTCTTGGCTCGGCTCCCTCAAAGCTTGCAGCATTTACTTATCAAAGTCCCTTCACTTCCTGGAATTCCGTTGCAACTTATGGTAAGAGGACCTGACTAGATGATTCCTAAGGTCTCTACTGGAGATGAGCACCTTTTCCCCACTCCGGCCTTTTTTCCACCCCTTTCTTCCCTTTACCCCTGAGATGGTAGAAGAACTTAATTCATATGTAAATTTGGAAAGAATAATTGGCTCAGCTCTGCCCTGCTTCTACTTAGAAACTTGAAAGATCCTCCATGCCATAATAGGGACCAACCTACCACTGTGCAGGAAGGCCTGCCCCAGCCCAGGTCTGCCATCACCGGTTGGGTAAGTCTGCCTAATTCTGGGGTCTAGTATGAGCAAGCCCTAGCTAACAGATCTAGAGCCACTGCCTGTTACTTAATTACTATCAGTAAAAAAGATAGCATTTTGGCCACTATATTTTCTTTCTGTTTTACTTTTCAACCCATCATCAGAGCACCCAGATATATAAAGCAATTATTATTAGAACTAAAGGGAGAGATAGACCCCAATACAATATGAGTTAGAGACTTTAACATTCCTCTCTCAGCACTGGGCAGATTATTTAGACAAAACATTAGCAGAGAGGTATTGGATTTAAATGGCACTTTAGATCAAAAGGACTTGACAGACATTTACAGAATATTTCATCCAAGAACTTCAGAATATACATTATTCTCATCACCACATGGATCATTCTCCAGGACAGACCACGTGCAAGGCCACAAGTCAAGTCTCAACAAATTTTAAAAGACTGAAATCATATCAAGTGTATTTTCAGACCATGATGAAATAAAACTAGAAATTAGCAATGAACAAAACTTGGGAAACTATACAAATACATGGAAATTAAACAAGATGCTCCTGAATGACCAGTGGGTCAACGGACAAATAAACAGGAAATCACAAAAATTACTTGAAACAAATTAAAATACAAGTGCAACTTCCTAAAACCTATGGGATACTGCAAAAGCAGTACTAAGAGGGATGATTATTGCAATGTGCTTACATCAAAAAAGTTGAAAGATTCCAAGTAAACAACCTAACATTATACCTCAAAGAACTAGAAAAGCAAGAACAATCCAACCCAAAATTAGCAGACAGAAAGAAATAATAAAAATCAGAACAGAATTAAATGAAATAGAAACCAAATAAGATGCAAAAGATTGATGAAACAAAAAGCTATTTTTCTGTGAAAATAAAATTGTCAAATCATTAGCTAGGCTAAGCAAGAAAAGACCCAAATATAAAAAATCAGAAATGAAAAAGGAGACATTACAACAGATTCCACACAAACACAAAGATCATTAGAGACTATTATGAACAACTATACGCCAACAAATTTGAAAATCTAGAGGAAATGGATAAATTTCTGCACACATACACCCTACCAAGACAGAACCAAGAAGAAACTGAATACTTGAACAGTCCAATAATGAATAACAAGATTGAATCAGCAATCAGCAGTCTCCTACAAAAAAAGCCCAGGACCAGATGGCTTCACTGCTGAATTCTACCGAACTTTTATTTTATTTATTTATTTATTTATTTATTTATTTTTTTATTTTATTTTATTTTATTTTATTTTTTTTGTGACCAGTAAGGGGATCATAACCCTTGGCTTGGTGTCGTCCGCACCAAGCTCAGCCACTGATTTATTTATTTATTTATTTATTTTTTTTTTGTGTGTGTGTGACCAGTAAGGGGATCATAACCCTTGGCTTGGTGTCGTCCGCACCAAGCTCAGCCACTGAGCGCACTGGCCATCCCTATGTAGGATCTGAACCTGCAGCCTCGGCGCTCCCAGCGCCGCTGCACTCCCAGTGCTGCACTCTCCCAAGTGAGCCACAGGGTCGGCCCCAAACTTTTAAAGATTTAATACCAATTCTTCTCAAATTGTTCCAAAAAATCAGAGTATTCTCCCAAACTCATCCTATGAGGCCAGCATAACCCTGATACCAAAACCAAACAAAGACACAACAAAAAAAAAAACTATCCTTGATGAACTTAGATTCAAAAATTCTCAACAAAGTGCTATCAAACAGAATCCAACAGCATATCAAAAAGATTATACACCATGATCAAGTGGGACTCATCCCAGGAATGCAAGGATGGTTCAGCATACACAAAACCATACATGTAATAAACCACATCAACAAAATAAGAGATAAAAACCATATGATCGTCTCAATAGATAGAGAAAAAGCATTTGATAAAATTCAATATCACTTTATGATTAAAATCCTCAACAAATTAGGTATAGAAGGAAAGAAACTCAACACAATAAAATCCATATGTGACAAATCCATAGCTAACATCATCCTGAATGTCAAAAAGTTGAAAGCTTTTCCTCTAAGAACATGAATAAGACAAGGATGCCCACTCTCACCACTACTACTTAACACAGTACTGGGAGTTCTAGCCAGACCAATTAGAAAAGAGAGAAGAATAAAGGCATCCAGATTTGAAAAAGGAAGTCAAATTGTTGCTGTTTGCAGATGGCATGATCTTATATAGAAAAAACTAAAGACTCCACCAAAAAAACTCTTAGAGCTAATAAATTCAGTAGAGTTGCAGGATATAAAATCAATGTATAAAAGTCAGTAGCATTTCTAAATACAAACAAACTAAAAGAAAAAGAAATCAAGAAAGCAAGCCCATTTACAAAGCTACCAAAAAAATAAAATACCTAGAAATAAACCTAACCAAGGAGGTAAAAGATCTCTACAATGAAAACTACAAAACACTGGTGAAAGAAACTAATGAAGTCACATAATAATTGAAAGACATTCCGTGTTCATGAATTGATAGAATTAATGTTGTAAAAATATCCATACTACCCAAGTGATCTACAGATTCAACACAATCCCTATCAAAATGCCAATGACCTTCTTCACAGAAATAGAAAAGACCATCATAACATTCATATGAAATAACAAAAGACATCAAATAACCAAAGTAATCCTGAGCAAAAAGAGTAAAATGGGAGGCATTACACTACCTAGCTTCAAACTATACTACAAAGCTCTAGTAACCAAAACAGCATGG